AAAAGACTCATAATGTGAGCTTAGGAATTCGTTGTGTTAGAGAGATAATAAGAACATAAAAAAACTAAAGATACTTAATAAAAATGGAAAATAAAAATTTAAGTTAAACAGAATCTCCCGGTTTTTATGAGGAACGGACCCGGCCGCCCGCTTTTCGGGGGGGGGGGGGGGGGGGGGGGGGGGGGGGGGCACTTGGACATTTTTTGGGTGTGTATGTGCCGCCCGGGACTCCAAATTGGCACCCCGTTCTAAACACAATTTCCCCTAAATTTGATACCCCGTTCTAGAAATGGGCCAATTTTTTATACTCCGTTCTAGAAAGTTTGTAAATTGAAATAGCCCTGTTTTTTAAAAAGATATTTCTTTATTTGTTCGACTCATACATCAAATAAATGCTTTTTCATAATCAGCAACAATTTTAGGCAGAAGATAAAGCCCTGATCCGCAATTTTTTATACCCCGTTCTAGAAAACGCCTCTGAAATGGATACCCCGTTCTAAATCAGGAGCTTCAAAATCACGACCCCGTTGGGCGGCACATACCCCTATAGGTAATATATGGGAGTACCCTCTCTGGGTTTAGAGGTCACTTCCTGCATGTTACCCCTGTCACACTAATGTTCCGTTCTCCCAATTAGATGCCAGCTATCACATGAACAGTTGATGCCTATATTTTTGCGCTTAGCATCCCTTACCCCTTTTCCACACAATAATTCTGGTCTAGTTACTTGCTTTTTTCTAAAGGATTACGGGTTGGGAGGATTAATTTGAAAACAAAGTGGATACGGTAAAATAAAATAACTGCATGCAATGCGATATGTATGCAGTGTTTAATGCTTAGCACTCATGGTCACACGATTACACGAAACAAAACAAAATCGCGTTCTAAGCCGTTTTCAGTTTGCCCAACGCTTTCATCTAAACCCCATTAATCATTAACAATTTCAATAAAGCATATAGCCTAGACTGGAAAAGCACTTATTTTCTAAAATTATCCCAGGAAGAAAGAGATCTGGTGGTCTGACTATAGTGCTTTCTTAAGCCGCGTCCTATCCTCAGATCAGAGTTTTCTTGAAAAGAAAATGAACTAGCCGCGGTCCCTGTTCTTCAAATGCTGGCTCGTACTATCCAATGGAAATATCAATGCTAAGTGAACAACGTCGTTGGGTTTCAACAATACTTATAGAGCGATTTTCGTATGATCTTGAAAAATGGTGTCGGTAAGCGTTCGTTATTTGTTTTATCAGCCAGTGGACGAAAAGATCAAAACATGAACTCTTCGTTTTCCCTCCAAAGTAAACCCTGATATGGAGAGGGCATTGTTCGATTGGCCAATCGTGTTGCAGTATGACGTCAAAGCTAAGTATCGGTTGATTTCTAGAAAGTTCTCGGGCATGAGGTTTTTTCACCCTAGCGTTCGCTTAACCAACCAAAAGCCACGCGCGTTTGTATCCGTTCGATAAACCAATCAAATGGCTCTATTTCCGTTCGTTTGTTGCTTCTGTTTCGGTTCGCGCGTTTTCATTTCAAGGTCATACGAAAATCGCTTTATCCACTGGAGAACAGTTTATCTTGCGGATAGAGCGACGTCACTAGTGTGAACACACGAAACCTGATCAACTCTAGTTCTAACACACAAACTCTGATAACAAGAAAATAAGAAAATTTTAATTATATAGGTATGCTGGCCATATGCCATCATTCTTTTGAATAGAAACTTTCAAATACATGCTCACAAACCGTCACACTCTCTGAAAATCTGGTTCAAATTCTTTTACATAAAAAGCAGGCTACATGAAACAAAAGGCTTAATGTATACGGAGTGTATACCGTATGCCAGCCTCCTTTGAATATAAATGGGTCATCTGAATCAAATTGTAAATTAGGTAGGTGGGTGAAGATGACTCAAATGATAAATCATTGTTCTGACTACCAGAACACGAATTTCACACGAGAAATCTAAACAATGTTGATGGCAATAAAAACATCATGTTCATCCAGGTAAGGTTATATATATATATATATAGGGGCTTCATAATTGAGCTTAAAATTGAGAATTAAAAAGTTATATTTCCAACGAGCGAAATCTACACCTCAGACTTAACGCCAGGCAGGATTCTTTAATTCCACACTTAAACCTAACGATTTTGTCGCCCACTGGTTTGTTTATTTCTTTCATTCTTAGGAGCTGCTTGTTAGATTTGAAAGGCATGTGTCTAGAAATACAAGATAACGCAGTTTGCCCAAGACATTGTTGAAAACTACGTGATTTTCATGTTGAAGTTGACTAGAACCAAGTGAACCGCGACTAATCTATTTCCTAGGAGCCAAATAGCCTTGAGAATGTACATTTATTCTGTCTTTTTGGCTCTGTGAAGAAGAATTGAACAATCGTTTCTGTACAGAAAAAAAAACAAAAAGGTAACAGGTTAATCTGGTTGCACGGCGCTATTCATGCGTAATACATGTAACTACGTAATTGAACAAAGCATGGCTTCTGAAGAATGATGCTCAACTGACAACTGGTAATGCTATTTTCACTGTACCGATTATATAAGTACAGTGAAATAGGTATTCAAAACCATACTATGAGTAGTATCTCGCCTAATTTGTTGTTTTGGAAAAAAATTAACCTGGCAAAAATTCACCCAATACTATTTTTGTTAAACGCACATGCCATATCGGATCATAGGAATATGGACAGACATAAAGACGAATTTGCGTCAACAAAAACGTTAAACTAGTTGTTACAAAGTATTGACAGCAAAACAAATTTTTGTCATCCACACGAAAATTAAAATATTAGCTTATTTGTCTGCAATGAATACTTATCCATTGTACAGACTGAAGATACGACGCTAATGAAAATTCCGGGCAAAAGGCGGAGTGGACTAAAAGTAATACTTCCAGCATAAGTTATAAGTGTGGAGTCGTGATTATCTTTCGCTTTTTCCGTTTAAATACACAAATAATATAATCTAAACAAAATCTATACGATGTCTCTACATATGTTCTTGAGAAATATATAATGGTGGAAAATAATGGTGTATAAACAGTTGTCGGGTTAAATCAATTAGCCCGAAGCGTAGTAAAAAATTTGAATAAAAGAGCGAGAATGCAGCAAATCAAAACAAAAGGAGTAAAAGATACAAGTCTCAATCATTTGTGCTTTACCCTTCGCAAAATAGTTCTGAATACTTCTTGCCTTATAAATATTCAAATTTAACCTTTAGTAAACAAAGGCTGGTATTTTCTAATCTGAAGGAAGTCTGGACGTTCTCGAATTTACTCATTAGCCGCAGAGGCCAATAACTACGTAAATGTTGGCTAGGGAACTAAAAGAGAGAGGCGAGAAAAAATGTTAATTTTACGGGGGTGGAATAACAATTCGTTTTTCCAGTACACGGCTTTGCCTTTAAGATGACGGAAAAATAAATGCTATTCTTCTCTCCCGTTTAATTACAGAAATGACATGATCTAAACCAAGGAGAATACGTTGTCTATACATATGTTCTTGAGAAATATATAATGGTGAAAAAAATGGTGTATAGAAGCTTATAGACAGTTGTCGGTTTAAATCAATTAGCCCGAAGCGTAGTAAAAAATTTGAATAAAAGAGTGAGAATGAAGCTCGCAGTTAGAAGTCACAAAACCAAATAGCGTAAGCAAGTACTGCATGTGTGTAGTGTTTACTAAGTGTTTTATTCATCCCCTGTCCTTGCTGTTTCCTTTTTTTAAGAAAATGTTTTCCTTTCATAAGACACTAGTACTGTTTGTCAATTAATTTTCCATCAGCACTGTACTGTTTAGTAAAATCTATATATTGTATACTTGCTGTAAATATATAAAAGTTGTTATACACAATTTGCATTTTACAAACTAATAACGATACATTGTAGATTGAAGTGGGTGTGTATGGACGTTTTGATGAGGTTAATATCATTGTCAATACTAAATACAGAGTGGTTAATCTTTTGATCGAGCCATATTGAAACTTTAAATCTCTCTTATGTTAATTTTGCTTTCGTTTGCTTGTATGTGTCTTCAAAAATTGGTTAAGGGTCTCAACTGGATAGTGCTGTGTTACCTCAGAAAAATACGCGTCTTGACAAAAAATTTAAAAAGGAACATTAGAAAATCATATTTTGGCAATAATTTTATCGCATGCAAAGGTATATATATCAATACATATTTTTGGCAAAAATTTTTCTTTATATTGGATTAACGGTTCAGATAAAACAGCTCTTAAATGAGATTTTTCGCAGCGTTGTTTTAACTATTAGTACATGTCCATCGGTCAAAAAACAACAACCGGCAACAGAACACAAAAAGAATTCAAGTTTTATAAAAAGCAATTCTGCCAACTGAGGTAAGAAAGTTTTCTTTAGCTTGTGAAACTTCTCGTTCGATTAAGCAATCAATATTGTGACTCACTTTATCATGATAATCGTGAAGCTTCAACAATTCAGGATTTAAAGGAACCGTCAACTCCCTGGAAAAGTTAATAAAACAAAAATTCCATTGTTTGCTTGATCTACCAGCGATCAATGTAACGATCTTGAGTTTTTTTGGATCCAACTAGTCACGCTTGAATTAACCAATGGAATTATCAAAAATAAAAAAAACAATGAAAAATTCAATCGAAACCCCTGAAGCCTGATTTGTTGTTAATTTTGCTCCTTTCTTGCACAACTACAAAATCCCGTAAAGCCACACAAGTCAGTTATACCAAAGGAATTTCCAGACGAGCCTAAATCGATCACACGCCATAACTGTGACATTCTTCAGGTTGTGCTTACCTTAGAACAAGTGCGCTCCACACGTTCGACCAGTAAACCAGCTTTGTCAAGGCTAGTTTCAAACGCTTTCCTCATTTCTTCAAGCTTTTCTGACTTGGCCCTGGATTCTTCATCTTCATCCTCTTTTTCTTGGCAGCGCTCGTACACAAGGACATAATCAATTTTCTTCTTCGATCCACTGCGTTCAAAGTACAATCCAACGGCCCCGTCGCCGTCACTTTTAGGCTTAATCGAGGGCTCGACCATTTCAAGAGTGACATCTTCATCCTCCGGAGTCTTTATATACGAAACTGGCTTCGCCATGTCAGAACGTCTCGCTTTTTGGCTCTATTGCTGGAGGCTGAGTAAAGCGGCGATTTAGCCTGTAACTACAGCGAGGGTGTGACAGATAACGATAAATATTTGCATGAAAATAGAACTAACCTGATTTGAGTTGCAAATTCGCCAATATCTGCGCAGTATTTAACCAAGGTCGGTACAGAAGTTGACAGTGCCAAAGAACTATTGCACTGTTATGCTGGGAGAATAAATCAAACCAAATCAAAGGAAGTAAAAGATACATGTCTCAAGTATTTGTGCTTTACCCTTCGCAAAATATTTCTGGATACTTCTTGCCTTATAAATATTCAAATTTAACCTGTAGTAAACAAAGGCTGGTATTTTCTATTCTGAAGGAAGTCTGGACGTTCTCGAATTTACTCATTAGCCGCAGAGGCCAATAACTACGTAAATGTTGGCTAGGGAACTAAAAGAGAGATGCGAGAAATAATGCTAATTTTACGGGGGTGGAATAACAATTCGTTTTTCCAGTACACGGCTTTGCCTTTAAGATGATGGAAAAATAAATGCTATTCTTCTCCCCTGTTTATTTGCATACAGTTTACATTCTTTACGTCTATAATGAGAAGAGCGAAAACAGCTCTCATTTGAGTATTTCTTCTCTTCACTAAATTTGTTCATTTGTTCGTCGGTTTATTAGATGTGTTCTCAATGTTCGTGATAAAATGCACTTAAAAATCATTGCTTGGCTGAGTATGGATACAGTATGAATTCGGAATAAAGAGACCCATAAATTTGTCCTAGAACAATATCATCGCCACTTAGCAAGCACAATAAAATGTTAATGGACGCGGCGACTAAAACTCGGAGGCGCATAGACGGCGCAGGTACAAGTGAATCTGTTTTATATTTATTGTTGGAGTTCGAGTCACGGGATATTTAGTCGCACCTGCAAATTAAGCCACCCTTTCTCTGTTATTATTTTATTGTTTTGACTATGGCCTAATTTATACAAGAGGCGTCTTTCTTGACAACTAACTAATTTAAATTCCAGAGAGAGGAGCCGTTTACGAGATGGTTTCGACAAAAGGACTTCCAGGACTTCATCGAGAGCCTGGACGCAGAGAGATTGAGGACTACTTTTGTGGAATAGTTGGCTCACAAAGGGTGACAGCAAGATTAGAAAACAAGGAAGCTGAGCCGGACGATTGGCAGGACATGGGTTTAACAACTTTAACAGTCTTAGTTCATGAATGAAATGGCGAAAGAGGGTGTATATAAACACCTTTATACTAAAGTAACCTTTGGTTTATTAACTTAAAGCTGCCAGAAAACTTTAATTTTACAGTCTATATATTCGTTTAAAAATAGGTTGTTCAGTTTACAACCGTAGGGGCTAATAATGACATTCATATATTTTCCAACGAAATCGGTCGGAAATCAGTCCCTCTTCCCTCTCAAGTCAAAATTTAAGAGTCTGCCTTCGTTTTCCACATAGATAGAAGCAAAGACAGTCTGTCATGGCTAAAAATGGTCTACTGAAAATGGTTAAAAATGGTCTGCTTTCCAAGGGGGGAAAGGTGCAATGAAGTTAACCCTATGTAAAGCACCAACTCGTGAAACAAGGCCAGACCATTACACCGGGAACTCCGTACCCTACTCTTTACGACAAGTGGGTTCTTTAACTGCCCCTGCTGACTATATAACACTGAAGATGTAGGAGACGGAGCCTACGATTTATTGTCCTTATCCGAGAAGACTACAACATCTAACCATTTGCAGATGTCATTGCAAGGGCAGCATGTTCTCCTCAGTTATTTTAAGACCCTGAGTGCTGGTCCGGTCTGGGGCTCGAACTCGAGACCTCCCCCGAGCAGTCCAGCACTATACCAACTGAGTTGACCGATCGGCGGGAAATGAATTTTAAGAAACAAGAAATGAAGTTAACCAGAATAAAACAGTTATACGGACAGCGCTCATTTATATTTTGCGCTGCGAGCTTGTTGAACAGACTACCTGCGAAGTTGAAAGACTGCTCTTTGAAATGAGGATGCGATGAGGGAAGAACGACGATCTTTCATGGCACGAAATGTCGTACGAAGCGACTCGATTTCAAGTTTCATCTTTGAGCTTTTGCCCCGATTGTTCGAAGACGTTATGGCGAGATACTTCCATTGGAGGGCTTAACTGAAGTGAGAAAACCGACTTTGAACGATAATATCCAACTTATTCAATTAACCGTTTTAAGATCTTTTATCAGTAGGATGCCTAATGTTTCGAATTCAGTGAACAATTGGTTTCGGTTCCTTTAAATTCGGAGGAGCACGCACAGTTACTAATAGGACATATTACTAATAAAAACAAGAAAGAAAGAAAACATTGTTAACCGCGTTTATACTTTTAGAACACTTAGTGTCCTTTGCAAGTGCCTGATTGAGAGAATAGTGCATATACACAGACCCATTTCCTTATGACACTGTGTGATGGTCATGTGTTTACACGAGATCATTAAAATAGTGCTCATTCATATCTTATCGTCACCATCAGTCGGATGTAATGTGATACTACAGGTAACTGGCAGGGTGGCTCATCTTTTAGATGGCCATGGGTTCCCAGCCGGGACGTCCTAGTAGCAGATTAGGTGGGTACAGAGTTTTTGCAAGAATTTTGGGCCAAGTGGAGAATAACTGGAACACCTGAATTCCCCAAGTAACTGTTTAGACACCCGTTCAGGGAGGAGCAAGCAAAGGTTGTTTGGCGGGTATATTGAAACCTCAATTTGACGGCTAGTTTACCGGTACTTACACCTCAAAATACGTGTATAATTGCGCTCTCGAGCCTGTTCTTTTAGCGGACGTTAAAGAGCATTTACAAAATAAAGCTAATTTATACAACAGGATAAATTAAAGTTAATGTGATAACTAAGACCCGCCTTTACCAGTAATCGAACCAGCTCACTTCCTTCTAGAGGCTCGAGGGGGAGGGGGGGGGGGGGGG